TATAAGATTTCAATGTTTGATTAATAGATTTCAAATAATATAATTTTACTTAAAAAAATTATTGGTTCTAAAATATTATTTATTGAATATATATAAAGTGAGATGCTTATTTAGAGTCTAACCCCCCCCCCCCTCCCTCCAGCTTCTCAAACCCGGGAAAAAATTATTAGAATTTTCAGTCTAGTTGATGGAGCTTTTTATATCTCTATAGATATTTTTTAAAGGATCTTTATTCAACCAATATCTCTTCCATCAAAAGTATCCTAAATATTTAACTTGTTATTTACAATCGTATTTTGTATTGAAATTCGTATAGCATCATTTTATGTATCATAAAAAGAGAATAAATATATTTTAAAGTCCTCTAGGTGAGGCTATAGCCCTGCAAGACGGTCCAAAGTCCGGTTCGGGCAGAGCGGGCTTACAAATTATAAAAAAAAGGAAAAAAGTTATTTTAGAAAATAAGAGATTTTTTAAAATTAACTTTACAAAAAATATGTTTAATTTATATACATATTTTTTCCAATTAAAATTTTAGGTCGGACCTGGTTCGGATCTGATATACAATTCGGCCAGGCCGGGCAAAAAATTTAATAAAAATTTCGGTTGATTTGGGGTTTAAAATTTAATAAAAAAAATTCAGGTCAGGGTAGGCTCGGTACTAAAAATAAATATATCAAATTTATAAAACTTCAAGGTGAGGTAAGATATTAATCATAAAGAAGTTGTAATTTATTTATAAGCATTACGATTAATTTTTTTTTTAAAAATCTGGAATGAACTATAAGAAAATATAAAGTTCTAAATCGAAACTAAACCAATTTAATTTCAAAATATAAATAATAAATAGGAAAAAAAAATATAGATTTCATTAATAAGTTGGTGGAGTTAGATAGAAGAGATTTTACTAAATAAATATATGGTTATTTATTTTTGTCCTTTGTGCAAATTGATGAGTTAATTAAAAAGATAATACCTTATCTCAAGGTTTTAAAGGGTATACAAAAATGCCTCTTTCTAAAAAGCTAGATAAAAAATATATGTAGATGATAATTGAGTAATCGTTGGATGGAATATTTCAAATTAAAATTTTTTATATAAAATAATTCGATCTTTTTTATATAAATATTTTTTAACAGGTACAAAAAAAAATGATATATTATTAAATAGGTACAAAAAAAACGATAAATTATAAACATTGTAAAAATGAGTGAAAGAGAGAGAACAAAAAATATTACTAAAAAATGATTAATTAATTAATACGTGCTATATAAAATATTTCGGTATATTCGTAAATCGTTTTCAAAATGCGCTACCGTAGAAAGATATTACTACAAAATTGGAGGCCGTTTTTTGACTAATTCTTTAGGTTCCTTAGATATACGAGGAAGTTTCGAAATTTTAATAACTTTTCATTAAATTTTTAATCAGCTGATATAAAACTTTTTCAGCAACGTTAAAAAAAGATGTGAGCAAGAACGGCCACACAAATATTATTACTATAGTGATCAATAAGAAAGATAATACCATCCCCGAATTACCAAAATCAGGTCAATTAAATTATTGGTGTATGGAACTAACCCAAAAAGATCTTAACATCATGATAAATAAAATTCCAAATGATCTTTATTTTAGCCATTAAAGGGGGGTTGATCGAAATATCTTTTTCCATTATATATATTCCATGTTTTATATAAGATTAAGGCCATAGCAGTAGGTCACTAAAAATCAATTTTTTCTGGATAGAGCGATTCGAATTTATTTTAGTATGCAGGACATGTCATCACATTAATTTAGATTTGTGACATGGGATATAATTGGCCATCCTAAGAGATTGACAGTTTGTTATCGAAATTTAACTAGCCTTTAAAGTTAAAAATCGCAATATATATATATATAATTTTCTTAATCCTTAAAATTATACATATTATTTTTTTTAAAAATTGAGGACTTCCGATAAAACTAAAAAAAACTTTTTGAGAAGGGAATATTTTTGGGTGTCATTAAGAATGTTAATATTACCTCTATATTGAAATGTTAACTAAACAAAAATAATCGATAACGAATATTCGTTTTTTTAAATTTATTTTTCGAAAATAAAAATATACTATTGCTGTGTCCTAAATGCCAAAAATATAATTCGTAAATTTTCGAAACTTTAACGAAAATAAAGAAAAAGGCTATTTTTAATATAAAAATAAAACATAATTCTAGAAAATTTATATGGAAGATTTTTTTGCGAATTTTTAAACCAGGTTTAGGATAGAGCATAATATAAAAATTAAATATAGATAGCAAAAATATTTTTTTTATAAACCGGCCCAGAAAATTTGTTAAAAATAAAATTCATTTACTTCACTCATCTTTTCATATTCCTTATAAAACAATTTTTTTTAAATTAAAAATCCGAGCAAAAAAGGTATTGATTGGCTAAAATATTATTTTAAATAAAATCCGGGCCAAATCGGGTTTGAAAATATTAGAGACGGTGTGGGCCTAAAATTTGGACCTTTGCCGGTTTCTAATAAAATAAAATAGGAAATTCCCCCCAACGCCACACAATTATAGAGTATTGAAAGGACACAAGAAATAAGCCAAGCAACAAATAATATCACAGACAATTTTGTTTTCATCTAAAATCAAATCTTACCAAATAAGCATAGGCTTAAATATGGAATATGTAAATCAGCTAAAGTAGTGTTCTTGGCCCGATAAAGATTTTAGCCAAAATAACATTAAAGCGTGTAGATTTTGCATATAGATGGCAGTAGGGTTTGGACGCTTATATGCTAAATCTCTAAGCCTACTTAAAATATTATTTTGGCTAAAATCTTAATCGGGCCGTTTTTAAAAATTTAAGCTGAAGGATAAGTCGTTTTATGTGATTTTAGTTTAATTGAATCATATGAGTTTTTCTTGTTAATAAAAATATCCGCTAAAATAAATTTATCAAAAAATATTTTTTAGATAAAAAATAACCAATCGTATACTGGCAGAAAAAAACCCAATTTTTAATGAATATTTATTACAATGATTAATGTTAAATAAATAGATAGACTATATCTCTAATGTTAAATTTTAAGAAAATTTTTATACATCACGGGATTCGAACCTATGACTTGACGTTTTAAAGGAAAACGATCTTCCACTCAGCCACCTTCTATATTAAATTTTGTAATATAATCTTTGTTATATATATGTTATTATTTTGCTATTAACATATTTTTCAATTAATTTATATAATTTAAATCTTATTATGTTATATTAAAAGGAATACTAACCTCACCTCAAATTATGGTAAGAATGAATATTATTAATTTAAAATAGCAAATTAAATATATTTAGCCAATTGAAAAATAAACATTTATCTCACATTAATTTTAGCATAAGTGTTTATATTCAATCAAAGTAAAATTTAATAATTTTTATAAAATTATTTTTATATTACAATTTAGATTAAACAAATAAATTTAAATTTACCACCACAAAATATGGCAGTAAATTTTTTTTATCTCGACCACATTATGGGAGCTCTGCAAATAGTATAAAATACCTATTTATCAATATCTTCCCATGCCAAAAAATTAACCTCCCTCATTGATCGTACTTATTACAATTTAGATTTAAAAATAAATTTAAATTATATCTAGCCAATTGAAAAATAAACATTTATCTCATATTACCACCCCAAAATATGCCAGTATAAAAATTTTATCTCAACCACAATATTTGAACTCTGGAAATGACATATAACACCAATTTATCAATATCTCCCTATATTTTTGATTAAAATTTCATATATTTTACGATAAATTTAATAATATGAATAAATAATCACTAAAATTTGTCATTTATTTTATATAAAAAAATGTATTTTAAAAAAATTTCATATTATAGTCCAAGATTTTATTATTCCCGTCATTCTTGACGGGTTATCAACTAGTATTATTATAATAGGTATAAAGCCAGAATCGTTTATCGTCTATAAAAATAAATAAAATATACTAATTATGTAAGTAAAACCCGACCCGGAAAATTTGAGAAACCGGGATCGTTTAGATCAAAAAAATTATAAACCCTTGCCGGAAAAATTTTAATTGAAAATTAACAGGTTTTAAAAAAATCTTCCAATATTCGATTTCTTTTTTGAAGCTATTTACAAAATACAGCTAAAATGATTTAGAATAATTAAATTTTAAAAACGGGTGCTAGGCCGTTAAAATAAGCAAATTTAAATAACTCGGCGGGGCTGAGAAAATATGGACCGGGCTGAAAAAAAAATGCAGGAAAGGTCCGAAGCTCTCTTATATAGATAAAAACTTAGATATATACTCAATTTTATAATCGTATTATATTGCTGTAAAAAATATAAATAAACGACATTTTAAAATTAGAATGAATAAAAAATAAATTAAGCAATATTAATAATTACTGATAATAAAAGACACTTAATTAAAAAAAATGATGCAACCATTTTTTCTTGAAATGGGAAATCTCAAGTTTAACCCCAATATTATAGTCGAAAGATAAATTTGATAATTTATTATTAAAATACCAATCGGGTTTAATAAGCTTTATAAAATATTATTATTTAATACGTCGGCATAACATTTGATATTTTTATTTTTTAATATATAAACAGGATTTCGAACATAAGTAAGATATAAAATCTAGATAAGAATATACACAAGATCATGGGAGGGTTATAGCTCACATATCTAACAGTTTTCGCCGATTTCAAAATTTTAGTCCTAAAATTATGTCCTCAGCCTTACCCTGCATTCACAGTTAGAGCGAATTCGCGATATACAAAAATGAATGTAAAATTATTATATTTGCATCATATTTTGTATACTTCACCGTGATTTTCACTATGTGAATGCAGGGTTAAGAGGCTTTTTTGAGAAAAATAGTCCCAGCTTGAAGAAAGCGGAAAAAAAATTCACTGCCTAACTATATGGGGAAAAAATTATCAAAAAGCATTTTGTTGTTTTACTTACCAACAACCGAGTCATGGTCGGAAATCGGAATATATATAAATATAAAAAATAATATAATCCGCGAATTCAACTTATAATATTTGAACGATCTTCATATTATTTATCATGATTAAAATCCTGAGAATATTTTTTTTATATAGCCAAATTATATATAGGTTGCAGGCTAATTAAAAATAATGAAAAGATCATTTATTTTATAAGCAATAAGACGCATAAAAAAATTAAATATATTATTATTTTATTATAAATTTTTTTAAAAAAAAATCCCTTTAAAGTTTAATGTTAAAAGATTACTATGATATTGTTTATCAATTATTTTTATTAGTATTTAACAAAAAGGTAATAATTATATTAGCTAAGAGCGCAGTCATTATTATCATTCTATTTATTATTTACCTGTGAGATTAAATATTTGCAAAAGAAAAAAAAAATCTAAAAAACGTGTTTATTTTTTTTTAAAAAAAAGGAAATTAAATTAGTCTTATAATTTTGGAGAGAAGGGATATTATGAATTTTCGTATGGTCTCCGTAAAAAAAAACTTTTCGGAATTAGGTGACCTCGAACCCGTATAAGAATTTCCGGGGTTGGGCTCAGCTTCAAGTTCAAAATAACATTCTGAACACGGTTAGAAAGGGGGGATTTAGCGAAAACGCGTCTTAAGGTGTATGGTAGAGGTTTGCTTAGGATATGGTAAATAAAGATTAACCAATGGTCTCATCTTAGATAAAGTAGGCTGATTATTTTTGTTGGAATAGAAAGATAAAGGAGGTTACGTATCTAAAAATGATACTAGAAATTTATTTTATAATTTGTATCATTCAAAAAATCATCCATTAAAATAGGATTTAAACAAAACGAACATAAAATATAAATTTTGAACAGATTTAAAGTTTTTCATATCAGCTTGGATCCCTCACGCCTTTCAGCGTTCTATAAAACCATAGTGACTTGTATTTGCTATACGTTTTTCTAATGAAGAGTATAACCAAGTAATAGCGTCATGGACTAAGTTGTTAGAATTTCTAATGATAAGGGCAAAAAAAACTGTATTCGTTTTTTCTTTAATCAAGTGGACCTGAGTTATTTCGACATCTTCCATTTGCATTAATGTTATTTTTGGATAATACCATGAATAAATTATTAATAGACATTTATTGATAAATTTCTGTAAATTCTTGGTTTCAGTTTTGTCCATATGTCGGTATAGTATGATAGTAGAATTGAAGGAAAATATAAACACGGATATCTCCCTTGTTTTCTCAAGTTTGTAAAAAGCCGCTCTGGCGTTCAGTATTCGGATTTTGAGTTCCTCCTTACAACTATCTTTATTTTCTAAGGTCAACAAAGGTATTAAACTATTTTCACTACTTTGACCGTCTCATGTTCCATTAAAAAAATTTTTATTAAAGGCGTAAGGGGCGAAGGGGAGTATGACTGTTTTACTGAAATTTATATCTAGACCTACTTTATAAGGCTGTAGGATTTAAGTATTTATATTAGATTTCTGGTTTCTACTAAGCTCTTCGTTATTATTACAATATCGTCAGCGTAATATATATCAACCTATTTTCTGTTGTGACATGGATCATTTGATCTTAGTTCTAACAAGTTTGCGACTTACTAATGTGTTTTTTATTATTCCTTCATAACCAAATTAAATGATAAAAGAAGAAATAATGCAACCTGGCTTATCAATCCTTTTTATTCCTAAACGAGGCAGATACTTTGTTATTAATTTTAAAATAGGCGAAAAGACAACTATACTGATTTCTTAGAATTTTAATTATATTATTATCGATGTCACATTCTAATAGCGATTAATCATTTTTGCATAATTATTATCAAAGATAATAATGGTTCCATTTATATTTTCCCCATGGGCGATATGCATGTTTTTAGAAAGAGATTTATTGTAGATGAGGATACGATTTTGTTTTAGCAAAACCAAGAAGAGGACCTGTAATTTTTTGGGGAAATTGTAAATTGACACGTTCCAATCTAATGGCATTTTCACTGTGTCAAATTTTATTGAAAATTATCAATTGAAATTGGAATACCGCTGTGAGATGAAAAAAACAAGGGAGGTTGTAAAGAGGAACTCAAAATTTGTACAAAGAACGCCAAAGCGGCCTTTTATAAATATTTTAAACTTTGAAAGGCAAATGAGCTATCTATGTTTACGAGACTTCGTATCTTCAATTCTACCATTATTCGTATTCTTCTTTACGGATGTGATATATGGGAAATAAACAATACTGAAATAAAAAACGACAGACTTTCATTAATAAATGTTTAAAAATAATAAATGGTTCCAAAAATCATATCAAATGTCAAGCTTTGTAAGTCTAAATACACTCAGGTTCATATGACCATAATAAAAAAACAAATTATTTGCCCACATTATAAAAAACTACAAAAACTTAGTCAATGATGTCATCACTTGGTTAAACTCGTTTAACGGAAAAACGTATAACAAATACAAGACATTATCGTTTTGTAGAGGGATAAAAGACGTAATGAAATTTAAATATGAAACAATTTCTAAAACTGAATCATAACAAGAGATCGATAAAATGAACTTCTAAAAATCAATCGAACTCCTTAAATAAATGCACTATTTTCAAGATACAATTTAATTTTTGCTAGGCCCTATCCTGTTTTTAAATATTTTCTTACCAATATATGTATTTTCAAATATTGCATAAATGTGTTGTAGATTCTATAATATAATAAGGATATCATATAAAACATTTAAATAATATTAGAGCTAGTGATCTGCATCGGGCCTATTTATTAAGCCCGGTCCGGCCCGAAATACCGGCCCAGCCCGAATCTGAAATTGTTTAAATTTACCGCCCCGGCCCGGCCCGAATTTATTTAAATATAGAAATTAATATTTATAATTACTCAAAATAAATGATATATGTTATATGGCGTCTAGTTTCTATAAATAAAATAAAATATTTTTATTTTACATTAAGAATTCAACATAAAATTGATAAATTTAGATATATTAAAAAAAATTTTCAAAGCCCGATCCAACCTGGCCCAAATTTTTTAAAAAATATTTGGCCCAGCCAGAACCCGATTGGGCCGGGCCTACTTTTGCAGATTTCTAATTAGAACAATTAATATTATGCCAAAAAAATATTCTTAATATTTTAGTGTTTTTATCGATTTTTAGTTTACCTTGAAAGCGAAAACTTGGCATTCCAATTTAAACAGATGTAGATTAGTCTTAGTGATATTTGCTTAAATTTTATAAAAATCGAAGATACTCCTTATTTTTTTTACAGGATTTCAAACTTAGAATGGGATTAAATCGATCGCCAGTTTTAAAAAATTGTATGAATACACTTTATTTTGATATTAAAATAATTATTTAAAATTTTGTAGTTTTATAAAAAAAAATAATTGAATGACAATTCATAAGCTTAATAAGTCATGTCTCATACTTCGATATCCAAAAATATAAGAGCGAGGATGCCAAAATTATCACTGCTTTAGTTATGGTATTTTAGTTTGTATATGTTACAGGTATTAATTTAAATAGAAAAATCGAATGTATTTTTTTGGTGAAAGTTTAATTTGCATTGTAAATTAATTCATTTTTTGGAATTTATTATTATGCAAACTATAATCTAGACATTTTTTTCATATTACTATAAAATTTACATAATAATTATAAAGTTTATAAATACCAAAAATATTAAATTTTTTACATTAATATTATTTATAGCAAAATTTCATTATTTAACTGTTATTAATATTTTTATCCAATTTTTTTTTATATTTTAACTGTTATAAATATTTTATAGAATATTGTGTAAATTATTTAAATTTATTATAAATTAAAGAAAAGTATACAAAATTTCACCCAAATCCCAAGATGTACCGCCAAAATCATGTTTTTTTGAATAGATTCATGGGACCCTATTAAATCTAAACGTTCATTAAACGATGCTCTCTAAGGATTATATATGAATAGAGTATGGAATTCATTGGAATTCGATTTTTAACCTGAAAAATCTTATTTAATTGGAAATGCATTCCAAAGAGTCCACTATGTAAATCTAACATTTTATATAAAATATAAAAGTTTATGGCAAAAATTTCGAAATTTTTTAAGTAGGTAGTTTAGACATACTGGAATACATTTCCGAAGAAATCGAAATTTTTTAAATTTAAAAATTTGCCCTTGGTAAATGATATAAATTTAAGATATACCGAACTCAAAGGATTCAATATTCTAATACGACATACAAATTGGTGATATTGATATAAATTTGAGTATCGAAAAACATCTCTCACCACTAACTTAAAAAGATTATCTAAAGCTCATGTTATAATAATATTAAAATATTTGAAAATTAGTTTAAAAAAAAATTGCTCCTAACACTAAATAATGAGGACTAAACTGTTGAATTTATTCATGAATGATAAAATGTGGGATGCACTATTTATTTTCTACCGCAAAAAGAAAATGCTTCAAAGTTGTAGACAATATTATACAGTGAAACTTCCATATGATTACCATTAAAAGGCCTAAGTATTGAGTAAGATAAAAAGGTAGTCAACCTATAGAACATTTTTGATAAACTTTTTAAATAAATTATTTCGAATTTATAAAAAAAAAAAATTTAGCGTTACCCAAATAAATTGCGAATTTCTGAATTCAAGAATGTTCTTGCCTTGGTGTATCTATCTAATGTGGATTAGGGAGAATATTAACCGAAGAACTAATTTTTTTTTTATTATTTATTAAAGAAATATATTTATTCGATCACAATGCGAAATATCGATTTTTTTAAAGATCCGATGAAAATGTAATGGCACATAAAAAATAGTCATATAATTATTTTATTATAAAGTAATTAATAATTTAATATTGATTGATGATCATCTTCGTACTTTTATTTATATTATTTTTTTATAAAATTTATTAGATATAGATAAAATAATATTTTTTAAAAAAAATTAAATATTTTTAATTTTAGTTACATAATATCAATTTACTGTTATAATAATGTTAATAATAAATAAACTAGATAAATTTTAAAAAAAATTGATGCAGTAGTAGAATAAAGATATCTTCTCCGTACATTAAAAGACAGAAAATATTTATAATTATTTTTTAAATATTTATGTATGGGTCAAGGATAAATTACAATTTG